TACATTCCATTGATCAACATATTAATATCCTTTTTCAGGTTGGACTACACCAGCGCGGAGGTGACGACAGCCAGGTTTGACTCCGCCCATATCGCTTGCGTGAACCCGCCAGTGGCGGAGCCGGGCGTCTTAGCCCCGCCCCTGGAGCCGGGCGCGGTCCCGCCCACATACTGCATGATGAGTGCCGGCGGCCAGGGTGGCGCCACCTACTGGATGCCCATGGTGGCAGTGCCGTACGCCGGCAACATGGGACAGGTCAACCTGGGCTGGGGGCCCTCCCATGACCTGTACGGGAAGGATCTCCCTCTCTCAGGTGCAGTGGTATTCTTTTCGGGGTTGTTTGCTGATAACATCTGTCTTTTGTACCACAGTAATAATTATTAACGGCGGGTGGTTGGAGGGCGCCATTGGTAGGTCCTACTTCTTTACTTTTCTTCTGTTGTTTCTGTCTGTTTGAATGTCTTCTTTTCCCAGCACTAAATTTTAATGACCGTTATTGTTTCGCTATGCTTCTCCTTACTCAAACAAATCAAAGGAGTATGTGGTGTAGCGGTTAAGCGCTTTACTGTCGCGACCAGGAGATCTGATTTCAAATACCGAATTGGGAGAATTTTTTATCGAGTATCTTGGTCTTTCTGATGGGGACTTTGTATATCCCTCCCAAGCCAGGTTGACTCCGACAGACAGGGTTGAAGTCGGCCTCCTAAATGATCTAAATTGTGTCGATGGGGCTGTATAAACACCAACATTTAAAGGGGAAAAAACATCTTGTGTCTTCCCATACATGGTCTAAGCAGCCAGCCTAAATTGTATTTGTATCAGGCGTACAACGTTAGCTTAAATTTTATAGATAACTGGTTGCTTGGGTCTTAAGCTTAAAACTTTTGCTGATCGCTGTTGCTATAGTTACGAACATTTTTTTCTCGGATATTTCGGGCTCGTATCCCTTCCCTGAAATTTTCCTTGAGGCCTGGTGACCTATTATAAGGTCAATTTAACACTTTCACTGTCTCACCAATCACTGTGTAAGATGTTTGTTAAATAATAAGAAAGCAGTTCTGGCGGTGAAGGGGTTAATCTCTCCTCGAGCGCTGAGCACGATCCAATCGAATTTAAGCACATCATAAACGTCAGAAGAAGTTCTGTTGGTGAATTGAGGAATGTACTGTAGGGTCATAATTTTATGGTGCTACCTTTCTTATTTTCGGGGGGG